CAGGCTGGTCTCGAACTCCTGAGCTCAAACAATCCGCCCGCCTCGGCCTCCCAGAGTGCTAGGATTACAGGCGTGAGCCACCGCGCCCGGCCTCCACCTTGCATTTTTGACTTGTATGGACACGTACGTAGATTTGACTTGGGTAATCGGTATTTTTCTTTATCAGGAAAGTCGATATTGACCAGTCAGCTGTGCATCACAGTTTTCAGAATAACTGCAAGGGAATCACCTTTCGGCCGAGCAGGGGGCAGGGGCCGAGTCGCTCCTTTCGCCGCCTTCCAGATTTGCTGCCACCGATCGTGGGGCTTCAGACGAGAGACCCGACCCGGAGTCTGTTTCCTCCAGCGTCATCTGTGGCTGGGCCACCCGGAAGGAGGCATACGGAAGCCCTTCTGTAAGAGGTAAACTGAGGCATCCACAACCGCTGCTGAATCTCAAAGCTCCAAGCTCCGCACCGAAGCCCCGAAGCCCCTTAATTTGCATAGAGGATGCAGCTCTCACGGTTTCCTGTGCCGTGTGAAGTTTATCTTAAAATTTGAAATATGTTATTTTAGCAAATGTTTTATCTACTGTGATTTTTTTCCCCCAAAACAGAACTTAATCAAGAAACACCATGTTGTATCTTTTACTGGAAGTTTTGTCCCCATAGCTTTCTTAAAGAGAAAAAAGACTCATCTCTTACATTGTTGTGAAGCTTCTTTCTGAAAATTTATGTCCAATGGCCTATCTGGTGGGGGGAAGCTTTTTTTAAAAAAAAAACTATTAAAAGGCCATTTTCGCCACCTCTTTTCATTAGGAGAGGATCTGTTTCCTGTGTAGCGAGGGACGGACCCACAGAATGAGACGATGTCTTAATAGTTGTAAAAACGGAGGGTTTTTGCCGAGTAGGTGAGAGGTGCAGATTGAAGAGAAATTAGTGAAATTATCATAGCGAAAAGCAACGGTTATTTTTCACTTCGCTGCACAAAAGTTTCAGGGTCACACTGAGCGGCAGCGTAGCTGTATTTGTAAAAGAGCTGGCTAGTTTTATGCCCACAGTACCTTTCATAATGATACGTGTTGGAATGACCAAGTCTCATGCCTCAGGGCATAGCCAATTAGGGTAGCGATCAAGAGGTAATTGATTTAATTTATTTGCTCTTGTTTGCTGCTCACACGGGGCAGCTCCGTTACACGACCCTGAATCCTGGTGTGGGGTTGAGAACTGCTGTTAGGTACAGGCCGCCGGAGGTGGCAGTTCTACATCCTGGTCCCCTGCTTATCGTATCTGTCACCGAAGAGGAGTTCTAAGGAACACTGGCTACGCTTTACGACAGGACAGATTTTTGGACACAGTTATTTTATTTTATTTTTTTTGAGACAGCATCTCGCTTTGTCACCCAGGCTAGAGTGCCGTGGCGTCAGCTTAGCTCACAGCAACCTCCAACTCCTGGGCTCAAGCGATCCTATTGTCTCAGCCTCCCGAGTAGCTGGGACTATAGGCGTGCGCCACTATGCCCAGCTAATTTTTTCTATATATTTTTAGTTGTCCAGCTAATTTATTTCTATTTTTAGTAGAGACGGGGTCTCGCTATGTTGCCCAGGCTGGTCTCGAACTCCTGACCTCGAGCGATCCTCCCGCCTCGGCCTCCCAGAGTGCTGGGATGACAGCCCCTGCCTGGACACAGCTATTGATGAACACGCTGAAGATGAGAGATCCTAATATTGAGGAGACCTTGAGGTCACCCGGGCAGTTTGCATTTGAAGGGGGAATTTTCATATAAAGCACAGTAGTCGTCACTTGAAAACACACTTTAAAAGCACCTGGCCTAAAACGTGTTATTTTAAAATATTAGCAACTCTCAGCTCCTGGAGGAGTTTTATAATTTCTAATTTACACGTACCATTAACTAGAGGTTTCCTTTCATTAATACAATATGCATTTCCTGACCAAAAGAATTTGTATGGCGTTAGCATTAATTTGATACTTCTTCCCAAAACCTGGTTATATTTTTGAAGCCATTCAGAAAATAAAGCTGGAAACCTGTCATTACATTTGCAAATGTTACTCTAGTCTTCTGTTTCGACTCCTTATGCATCTAATTGCAACTTCATGCACTTCTATTTTTTTCTTACCTGATACTCTTAAATTAATGGCTAAAAAAATGTTTTGACCATAATGGGTAAGTATAAATACGCTTTACGTTAACAATCCGAATATCCTAGGTATAGCACACAAATGAAACCAAAAATTCAAGAACTAGTCCTTAAGCACGACGGACACACTCTGTCCTGCTCTCTGGAGGGGGCCGGTTGTGGCTTCTGCTGCTGATTTTACAACCCGATCCCAGAGTTTGAAAAACGGCTCCAGGCTTAAAAAAAAAAAAACTTGTTTCTGTTGCTTTGTTCATCCAGGGTTTATCTCGTGCAGGTCTCTGTTTTGCTCCCGTGGAAGGAAGTGCCGCTGAGAGGGCCACCAGGCGACCGCAGCAGACAGCGAAGCTTGTCACGCTGCTCAGTCCACGCAGAGACGGCACCGAGTGACCCGCGCGAGGAAGAGCCGGAGGCCACGGAGAGGGCTTGTTCGGCGGAGTCTCTCCCAGGGTCACTGGGGCGCTACGGGGGCCCGCCGGGCGATGAAGCTTCTCCAGGGAAAAGCTCTGCGGCTGCAGATGTTCCACCAGCCGGCCACCCCCTTGGTGGTGTCTGCCTCAGTTAGCCTGGCTGCCCCTCAGATGTCTGCTGCCTTGGGCGTGCATGTCTCCTGGAACGTGTGGCACAGTGTGAAATTCTAGAAGGCGTCTTGCAGTCAGTCCTGTCCGATGATACCGGCGCTGGCTCCCGTGCCCTCAACCTCGTTTTCAGATGCTCCGGGTCTCACTTCTCTTCAGCGAAGGGTCTGAAGACACGCTGGGGATACACCTTGCAAATGGGCGATGCTGCCACACTCGTCACAGCCGATGACCGAGCTAAGTTTTTTGTTTTTTTTTTTTGAGACAGAGTCTCACTCTCTTGCCCGGGCTAGAGTGCCGTGGCATCAGCCTCGCTCACAGCAACCTCCAACTCCCGAGCTCAAGCGATCCTCCTGCCTCAGCCTCCCGAGTAGCTGGGACTACAGGCATGGGCCACCATGCCCAGCTAATTTTTATATATGTGCATA